ATATATATGTATATATATATATATATATATATATATATTTATATATATATATATATATATATATATATATACACATATATATATATATATATATATTTATATATATATATATATATATATATATATATATATATATATATATATATATATATATATATATATATATATGTATATATATATATATATATATATATATATATATATATATATATATATATATATATATATATATATATATATATATATATATATATATATATATATATATTATATATAGGGTGTCCCAAAAAAAAAAAAAAAATATATATATATATATATATATATATATATATATATATATATATATATATATATATATATAGGGTGTCCCAAAAAAAAAAAAATTTATTTAGCTTTGTGTGTAGGTTTGTCCGTTAAAAGTGAAAATAAGAAAATTTTTGAAAAACTATGAAGCTTGACCCCGTCCTTCTTTTAAAGTTTTTACCCCCTCTGCTGCCCACTTTTTCAAAATTATTTACTTTTAAACTGTGATTTTAGGCTAAATATATAAATATATTACTGCAATTAAATATGTTAAATTAACTGGTAAAAAAGAAGTTGCACCTGTAGTTTGGGAAAAAGTTAATGTTTTTTGGAAAATGGCAGGAATTCCAATAAAACAGAAGAAAGATATTGTTAGAATGATACTGCATCTGATTCATCTTAGAGAGAGCTTAAGAGAAAATTCATAACAAAAATTAAGAAAGTACTATTGCTAGACAGAAAACAAAAAAATAAAGAGTTTAGAAAACTCTAAAGTTTTCTTTAATGGCTGATAGGTTGAATCTATCCAACAGAGAAAGATCTGGGATAATTTTAGCTGTAGTTGAAGCATTAGGTCACAATTTAGATGAAATATCTCAAAAAGCACAGCGAACAGATCAGGTAATAAAATTCGACCTCAAGTTTCAGATAATATTAAGAAAACATTCACTTCACCCATGTACTCTTCCATTAACTGAGATTCAAAGCTGGTATCTGAGGTCGATGGTAAAGTGGAACGTTTGGCTATTGTAGTAACAGGAAAACCAAGTGCACCTGAAGGGAAATTGTTGTGTGTATCCAGGATTCCAGATAAAACTGGGCGAAGTCAGGCAACAGCTACCATAGATGCTGTAAATGCTTGGAAACTAGAAAAAAACACTTGTGGCAATAATTTTTGACACAATTCCATCAAATTCAGGTTGGATGAATGGTTCTGCAAAGTTTTTAGACATTGCAAAGTATTTAGACACTTTAAAAATGAGGTATAACTTTTATTAACTTCAGATACTACTTTTACAAAAATAAAACTTGAAGAACCAATATTAAAACAAGCAGAAGTAATAATTTTTTTGTCTAGTTTACTTAACCAGAAATCTAGAAAATTACTAAGAGATGATTATTGAGAATGTTGTCAACTTGCTTTGCAATTACTCAATCCAAAACAAATAAACATACAGTGGAACAAACTGTTGCTGCCCTGGAAACATTTAATCTGCATCATTGGTATTTAACCGAAGAAATGTCCCTGTTTTCATCATTTATTGATAAGGTATCTGATCGTGATAAAACTAAAATTGCTAAATTTATTCTGAAAAATATATAAAAAAAACTGTGAACATGATATAGGCTTTCCACAATTTCCTCTTCTGAAGCAGAGTACTTGTTTGACTGATCTAATTTGATCAAAATCAAGCAACATTCTAAATTCATTCGGATATTCAAATCAGGACATTGTCAAATTTTAATCTCATGTTTGAGCATATCAAATCACTGAAATCTGTAAACGATACAGCAGAATGAGCTGTTAAACTAATTCAAGACTATGCAACATCTATAACGAAAGATGAAGAGCAGAAGGAATTTCTTCTACGTGCAGTAGAACTCAAAAACTTTTGAAAATATGCTCTAAACAATCTCTTTTGTATTTTGTACCTTTAAAATATTGTTATTTTGTTGTAATTTTAAAAAAATGAGATTTTAAATTTCTTAGTACTATAATATTATATAAATATACTATAATATATTTCTTGTGCTATAATATTATTTATTTATACCATCTTATATATCTTCTTTGTTTAATAACTGAGTAATTATCAAGTTTTTTGTTTTAACTAAAAATTATAATTTATAAAGTTCCATATTTAGGCAGAAAAAAATCATACGACAAGGGTATTATAAGAAAGGATGGGAATGGGGGGGGGGGGGGGATAAACCAGATGAAAATTTATTTTTAATAAATTTTTATTTTTATTTATTACAAAACTATTTCAAATTGTAATAATAGTTAATTATATTGGATATAAATAAAAGATATATAAAAGGAATATATTAAGGATTGTTTTGGGGCAAAAACACATTAAAGGGGTTATGGGGGGGAACAAATATGAAATTTTTTTGAAAATACCATTTGATTAGGTTTTATCATTTTTATAATTTTTGTGTGTAATTTTAACAAAATTACACACAAAAATTATAAAAATGCAAACATAGTTGATTATCAAAAATAATTTTAGTCCTTTGTGTCATTTTTTTAGAATAAAAAACACAGAAAAAATGAGCGGCGGGGGGGGGGGGGGTCAAATATGAAAAAAAAACATTTTTTTTTTTAGCTTGAAAAACTGATTGAAAATCTAAAAATAGTTAATAACTAAAAAAATTCATTTCATTTTGGGACACCCAAATGTACACACACACACACACAGGACATCGCCACCACCTGGACTGTTTTTGAGATCCGATTTATGGAGGCAATCAACTATTATTCATTTTTACTGAAAAAATCAACAATGGTTTGTTGCCCTCAATTTAACGTCAATGTCTGACCATCAAATTAAGCCCTGATATATATGTCAGGGCTTAATTTGTGTTAATATGTATATATATAATTAATATATATATATATATATATATATATATATATATATATATATATATATATATATATATATATATATATATATATATATATATATATATATATATATATATATATATATATATATATATATATTGAAAAATGTTAGTACTGTTGGTTGATATATATTGGTACAAAATAATGTTGTGTTTGTGAAGTTTTATCAAAACACATCTTATTTACAAAATAAGTAATTGCAGTCTATTTGAAACTCTTTTAGTTTTTCAAATTTTTAGTTACACTAATATTTGTGTATCGCAGTAAATTTATTTTACATAGTAAATTTAAAATAAATTTACATTTAATATTTGTTTTCAAAGTGTGGTTTTTGGTTACATTCTTCACATGATACAATTAAATGGTAGAAAAATTTTCAGATTTAGTAAAAGCCGACACAATAATAATAAATAAATAATAATAAAATATTATTATATAAATAATGATAATAAATAAAAGACATTAATAATATGATATAAATATATAAAAATAATAAATGAAAGAAAATAATTATTATTATAAAAAAATTTGTAACACTAAAGAAGGAAAATCCAAAATTTTCCATAACATTTGACAAATGGACAGCACAAAATAATCAGAGATACTTAAAGAAGCTGAAGAAATGTTGATTACATATGAAATTTGTAAAAAAGATGAACAAGATATCACTGATAGTGATGAAGTTATACATGAAGACTGCAGTTTGACAATAATTTTGGATAAATCATTTGCTGAATTAGTTAACAGTTTCAAAGATCTTATTAAAAAAGTGAGAAAAGTTGTGCAAATCTTTTAAAACGCTTCTGTTAAAAATAATACATATTTACTAATGTACATTTACAAGAACAATGCAAAAAGTTAAAGTTGATTCTTGATTGTAAGAAGAGGTAGAATAGCTTGATATATTTCATAATATATGTATCAAAAAAGCTCTAATTGACAATGCATTAGAAATACATTTCATAAATGAAGAATGATCTCAAATCAATGATTTAATTCTTTTCTTGGTACCACTGAAACTTGATCTTGAAGTATTATGAGAATTAAACCTCGTCATTGTGAAAACAACCTTTTGATTTATTTTAGATAAATTAGATCAACAATAATCAATTTTGAACATTGATTTAGCTGATGTACTGCGTGAAAGATTTATACCTTGTAATAATAACTTAACTGATCTACTAATTTATTTAGAAACCCTATAAAAAAAAAAAAAAAGCAAGAAATTTAAAAAAATTAGAATATATTTTCCATGCCAAATAAAACCAATATGCGTAAGAAATAAAAAAGTTGTTGGCAAGGGTTTAAACAAATAAAGAAAATGAAGATGAAGATGAAAAATCTGTTGAGGATTTCCAAATAGTCTTACTGAAAGAAAAATAGAAAATCAAATACTGAAAGAGAAGAAAGTGTAAAGAAGATACTAAATATTGACTCTTTTGACTTAGAGAAATTATGCAAGGAGGAAATGTCTGATTATAGAAGTAACGAATCAAAAAGCAAACTTCTAAGTCTAACCATATAATTACTTGATGAAAATACTACCAATAAGCATAGAGACTGTGTGTTATACCTGCTGCTGGTTATATATGCAGTCATTTAAAAAGTACTTTGAGTAGCGTCTGTTTATTAAGATCACATTTTTTGCAATGATTCACTTACACTTGATATTCAAAACAATTCATGCTTACTTTTTATGCATATTTATTTTATATTTTGTTCATTAAAAGTTTCAAATTATATTTATTTTCAAATGAATTAGTTTATTTACCACACCTTCATAAATATTTTGAAAATTATTAATTTTTTTAGCTTGTTAATGTGAAATACTTAAAAGATAAGTACAATTGTCATTTTGTCATTTATATAGTGTATAAGAAACAAAATTCTACCAATCCCATTCGGGATCCCACTGAATCCAGCAGGAATTTAAAAATCTTCCATGGATCCAGTGGGACTAAAAAGTGTGCAGGATTAAAATCCCTACTTCTGATACTATATATATACTAACTATAATCATGTATAATAAACAATTTTAATAAAATATAAAAAAAAAGTTCCTTACTTTTAATATTAACCGCTAAATTGAATTGTGTACATCTTAAAAGTTGGACAATATTAGAAATCAAACCAATTTTTGAGCAAATGTATCGATTTTGAGGAACAGATTTACACATAACTCGTAAAGACTCACAAAGCTTTCTAAATTTGATTAACATCTTTTTCATTGCAAAGACTTAAACAGTATAAATAAATATGATATCATGCAATTATAAATTAAGTTTCATGCATTAAGTATTAATTTAAAAAAAAAATTGGAAATAGAAAAATTTGTTTATATATATAAATATATATTTATATATATACATATATAACGCATATATATATATATGTATTATATACGTATATATTATATATATACATTATATATATATATATATATATATATATATATATATATATATATATATATATATTAAATATATATACAATATATAAATATATATATATACATATATATATATATACATTATATATATATATATATATATAATATATATATATATATATATATATATATATATATATATATACTATATATATATATTATATATATATAAATATATGTAATAATTTATATTTATGAGAATGTTAAATGAACAATTTGTTAGTGACATACTCTCTGCCTTTATCATTAAATTGAGGTAGAATATCAATAATAAGATTTGTTAACTTCTTCATTGTTATTAACCTTTGTTCAATAGGAACTCCTTGATAATTTGATATAGTCAGCTAAAATAAATATCAATAAATAAGATTTTTAGTTTAAGCATTATACTCACATTTATTTGTTTAAATGTTTAATTTAAAATGTTTAATTGTTTAAACACAACTAAACATAAGACATTAAAATTTAAACAACTCACATTCAATAGTGTAAGTACATAGCTAATTAATATAACCTGTTGAAAAAATTAAATTTTTTATGGTTTCAATGCATTTTCATATAATTTTTTTTTTTTTTTTTTTTTTTTTTTTTTTTTTTTTTTTTTGCACAGCATTCTTGTCCTCCAAGGCTCATATTTTAGAGTCAAAGAGTCAAGAAATGGTTGCAACAACCGATAAACCAAAAAAAAAAATTTAATCAGTAGTGTACTTAACTGTAGTAGCACCTCAGCCTAGTGGATATAAGTGAATACAAATAAAATGAAATTTATTTTAAATTTTTAACAATTAATTTATTAAAAAAAGTCAAATTTAAAAATTAAAATTTATAGAAAAAGTGTCTATGGTAACTCTATGAAAAAGTGGGACAAAAAATTGAAATTCAGTCCTCATATATCCTCAAATTTTAACCAGTGATGAAATGAAACATAAAAAAATTTAAAGTTTGAATTCAAATCCAAACAATTTAAGATTTATGACATTTTGAAATTTAACCTAAATATCCTATTTTTTTCTCATATCTCACATTATGGAGATATGAGAAAGTAACATTACTTTGTTACTTTTTAATAAAAAATTGAAGTTCTAGTAGAAGATGTCATTATTTTGATTTTTAATAATCATTCAAATGTTTCATCACTGTGAGTTGTGCTTTCACTAACTTCGGAGTTGCTCAAGTCTCATGGATACAAATTACATGCTCAAGTCTCATGGATACAAATTACATGCTCAAGTCTAATGGATACAAATTACATGCTCAAGTCTCATGGATACAAATTACAAATGAAAAATGATCTATTATAAAGGCTATTATAATGAAAAAAAATCATTTTGGCCTATTCAAGCATATTAAAGATATGTTTTTTTGGAGTATTGACAAAAAAATTTTCAAGCTCACATTCTCCATAATAGATTTTTTAGCCATACTTTTTGTGTATTTAATGTATTTTTTTATTATTATTTTGTGTTCTTTTATTTTAATGTATAAAATATATTATATTATAAAGCATAAAAACTGTTTTAACTTTAGATTAAATAACTGAGTCTTATTTGCAATTCAATTTTTCAGTCATGGTAAAAAGTCAACAGTACATTTTTGAAGCATGGTAAACAGTCAATAGTGCTTTTTTGAAGCATGGTAAACAGTCAACAGTGCTTTTTTGAAATCAAGTGTCATCTACATTGTTGCTTGGAATTTATTTTAAATTTTAGGCTTAATTTCAAAATGTCAAAAACATCAAAATATTTGGATTTGGAAGCTCAAACTTTACATTTTTTCTTGTTTTATTGATAGGTACCACTGGTTAAAATTTAAAGAAAAACTGAGAGGTGATTGGAACGACTGCCCTCAATCAGTTAAATCAGTTGGATCATCAAAGAAACAAAATTATGTTGATTGATAAAAATGTGTTTGTGGTGTTTGTCATTGACTTTACTCATTTTAAAATGAGTAAATTCAATGAAAAAATCCATAAAAAATAAACAGTATGTAATCTATTGATTGATAAACAGTAAAACTAACATCAAAATTGAAAAAAGTATTTTAAAATAAAAAAAAATTTAATGTAATAAAATTTGTAAAATATACTACTTGCTACCAATAAACCAATGGTACATAACTCATTCTTATGATTGCTATGAGAATATTCTTATGAAAACTGGTGATAAATTACCTACTTTTAAATGTTACAAATAAGTGACAAATGATAGAAAAATAGAAAAATAAAAAATCATATTGATGTTCTTAATCGCATTACATCATTTGTCTCTTAAATGCCAATTATCAACAAACTTAACTAATTTCATTACATGATCAATAAAGTGTTAAAGATATTTTGGAAAAAGTGTGACCAACCTTTACTAATAGAGTGTAACCAACCCTTGCTAAAAGCTTAAGCTGAAAAAAACATAATACAACAAATCTCACAAACAAATATAATACTTTTTCAACATTTATTGTTTGCCCAATATGTTTCATTTTTAGCTTGAATGTTTGAAAGTTATTGTAACAATTTCAGAATTATCAATATTACATTTTATGTTCACAATAACTGTATTTTTTTAACACTTAATAATTTAAATTGTTGTCTAACTAATTCTTCTTAAAATTATTTTAGATTGACAATAGGCCCATTTGCTTCTGTTAGTTTTTTTTGAAAACAAAGTTGAAATGCAAAAAAACACCTTTAAACCTAAAAAACCTAAAAACTTAAACTGCAGAAATTTAATTTGATATCCTGAAAAAGCCAAGAAAAGATATATGAACTCTATAACACTGTAGTCTTGTAGAGCTCATATATCACTATATATGAAATATATTGTAATTAAAACTATTTTATATAAAATATTTTGTTTAATTATTTATTACCAATTCAAAAAGAGAGAGAGCAACATTAATATCCAATTGAATATTTGTAAATAAAACTTCCCGCAAGCTTTTCATTCCAAAAACTTCCTGAAATTTTTTCTGTAAAAAAAAAAATTCAATGGTAAAAAACAAAATAAAATATAAATTTCATTTAAAAAAAACAAACATAAAAACTCTTACCCTCTGATACGAATTATTGTTAAGGATAACACTGATTAAACAAAATGTGGTTGCTAGCTTCTTATTAGTTATGTCTGGCGAAGCCTTTTAAAAACATCAAAAAACATTTTTATACCTAATTAGTTTTAAGAAAGTAACTAAATATCACAATACTTAATTTCTTTTTTTTTTTTAAATGATAAAAGTTTTAATAAATTTTATTATGACAACAATACTTACTGGAACAGAAGCCATTTCCTTTAAAGCTTCAAAAAGTTGAACACAAACCAGCTCATTCTAGTAAGTAAAAATTTTATACATTAAATTAGACCAAAAAAAAATTAATGATAATTCAATTTACTGTCTATTAGGGTGTGTCGATTTTTTTTTTAAATTTCAAAAAGGGCAAGGTTTCTTTTGGTTAAGAATTTTATGGAGATTCTGAATCTGCAAGTAATAATTTAAAAAAATAATGTCTTGCTGGGTGGGTCAGCGTTGTTTTGAACAGAAAAATGATTAAATATGACTAATTAACGGGGAGAAACTGTCATTAAAAAAAAAAAATTCTAAAATTTTTGATAAATTCTAAAATTTTTTATAAATTCTAAAATTTTTGATAAATTTTTGATAAAAAATAATTATGTTGAATTTTAAGAAAATTGATTATTTGGTTCAAAAGTCATAAAAATAAAAACAGAAAAGGAGTTTTTTTGAAGGATATTTTTACAAAAATCAGCCACTTTTTTCATATTTTAGACAAAGAATGTTATGGTAAAGTGTGCTGTTTTTTTCCTGTTTTTATCAAACTTTAAAAGTAAGCAGAGTTCATTTTTGTGGAGAATTTTATAGGTAATCTAAATCTGAAAAAAAAATGAATAAAACATGTCTTGTTGGGGTGAACACTTTGTTTTCAACAAGAAAATGACTAAAATATGAATAATTAAAGAAAAAAAAATTATAAATTTAAGAAAAAAAAAATTTTCAATTATTTGATAAAATCAATATAAACTATGTTGAAATTTATAAAAATATCATTTTATAAATTTCATTTGTTAAAAAGTCAAAAAAAAAAAAAAACATAATGGGGGCTTTCCTGAAGTTGCTTTTAGGAAAATTACTTGATTTTTTCATATTTTAGACAGTGGATGTTATTGTATCGTAGGGTGAGCTGTCTTTTCTTAAACAAATAATAAGTCAAACACTTTTGTTATAACAAACAGTATATTAGATACTAATACATTTTACAATATATATTATATAATACTGATATCTTTTTAAAAAATTTACATATAATTAACAATTAAGAGTTTATAAATTTTATTTAAAATTTGTGAGTCTAACTAAGTTATATTTAGCATTGTTTGTGCCTATAAAACCTCTACTGATTTCTTGTGCTCTTATATAACCTACTTTAGCTTCTCAAAGGAATATGTTTTTGCACAAGTCTCTGCAATCTAAATTAAACATTAAAAACAGTTAAGTCATTAAAAAATTTTGAATAAGTTATTATATTCTTGTAATTGTATAAAAAAGAAATCTGCTTAACACAATGTTTGATGGATTGGGAATGGCATGGCCAACCTGAAACAACCATAGGCTTGAGAAAATATTTTCTGACTTCATGGGTTGTAAGGCTTGTAGTAAGTAGTGGTCTGCATATTGAATCTTTCAACTCAATTAGATTGGTCAATTTATCAGCATCAGTATTTATGCATGGGGTTTTGCGAATTCTTACTGAAACTCTCCAAACTGAGTTCATTCTTCCTTTCTAATCTCTAGTTTTGCACTCCTAACTTTTTTGCACTCCTAACTTTTTTTGCACTCCTAACTTTTTTTGCACTCCTAACTTTTTTTGCACTCCTAACTTTTGTTTCTCTATCTTTGGAACACAAAAAAGTCTGAATAACAAAAAAGTCTGAATAATGCATTCACTAAATGCAAACCATGCAGATCTCTTTACAGTTTTCATTACTATTGCAACAACCTCTTTTTTTTTCTTTTTTTTTTGTTGATCTTTTAGTTTCTTCAATTGGAATAAAATATGTCCAGTTAGACTATAAATTCAATAATTAAAGCAGATTTCTAAGAGTTTATTTTGTTAGAAAAGGAATTGAAATCCACAATCTACAAAAATAGCTGGCTGTAGTGAGCCATCTGGAATGAGAAAAAGCACCTATTTCAAGGTTTATTAAATTTTCAGGTAACACTCAAGATCTTATTGCTGTTATAATTCTGTATTCGCATGTACAAATCTGTATTCGTATTTGTCTGATCAGCCGAAAGATCATTAAGTATTTTGTCTGGCGAAAAAATAAGTGGGTTCCTAAAGTTATTTTTTCAAAGTTTTTGTTTACATGTTTACATTAGAGGGACCTCAGCATATTTTATTCCAACTGAATTCCTTGTGCAAAAACATATTCTCGTGAGAAGCTAGTAGGATATATAAGAGCACAAGAAATCAGTAAAGTTTTTATGAGCACAAACAATGCTAAATATAACTTAGTTGGACTCAATAGTTGTAAATTTTAAATAGAATTTACAATCCATTAATTGTTAATTATATGTAAATTTTAATAAAGTTATCAGTATTATATAATATATATTGTAAAATGTATTAGCATATAATATACTGTTTGCTAAAACAAAAGCGTTTGGCTTATAATTTGTTTTAGAAAAGAGAGCTCACCCTACGATACGATAACATTCACTGTCTAAAATATGAAAAAATCAACTAACTTCCCTAAAAGCAGCTTCACAAAAGCCCCCATTATGTGTTTGTTTTTTTGACTTTTTAACAAAATATGATATTTTTATAAAATTCAACATTATATTGAGTTTATCAAATAATTGAAAATTTTTCTTAAACTTATAATTTTTAAAGAATTTTCAATTAAATTTATAATTTAGTGGTGAATTTTATGGAGATTCAGAATCTCCATAAAATTCTTCACCAAAAAGTAACCTTGTCACTTTTGAAATTGAAAAAAAAAAAATCGACACACTACTGTCCATATATTTTAAATTGAAAATTAATGAACATTTTATATTGAAACCAGAAAAGTAATTTAGAAAAATAATTTAAAAAACTAAAATTTCTGAAATATAATTAACTTAACCAATCATTATTCAATTATGTGATGTTTGGTGATTTTAAAATGCAGTTTTTAGAAAAACATTCATGGTCTATATAGTAGAACAAAAGTGATACATTTTGTAGAATGTGCTCAGTAGATCAGGCTCTGATATAGGCTTTTTAAAATTATTTTTAAAAATTTTTTAAACGTTTATTGTTCACAAACTAAAAAATAATTAATGTAATAATTGTTTAATTATTAACAAATATATTATTAAATACTTGTAGCTGTTTTTATAAAACAACTATGAGTAAAAATAAAAGAATTGAAACATGTTTTTCATAAACAGATTTTAAAGATAAGTAAATAGCTTTAAAATCTAGTTTAACAAGTTGTTTTCAACAAAATGTGTTTATCAAGCTATGTATTTTTTAACAAAATGTGTTTATTAAGCTGTGTATTTTTTAACAAAAACATAAAAGCATTAAAATAAACCGTTATGATTTCCTTCCACTTTCCATACTTTTCCTTAAACTTTTGATCTTTATCTTGTATTAACATACTTAAAGTATCTAAATTCAAAAATACAAATATAAAATTATTTATTAGAAGGTGTTGCTAGAAGGTGTTACTAAATGACATTATTTAATGGTGTTAGTAAAAGTTGTTACTATAAGGTATTAATAGAAGGTATTACTAGGTGTTACTAGAAGGTGTTGCAAGAAGGTGTTACTAGATAGTGTTACTTGAGGGTGTTACTAGATTATGTTACTAGAAAATACTGCTAGAAGGTGTTACTAAATGGTGTTACTAGATGATGAAGATGTTACTAGATGATGTTACTTGATGATATTACCTCGGGTGCGGTGTTCATCTACTCATAATTCACTATGTATATATGTATATTTGTGTTTGCCTGTAGGCTTCTGTACATTTATTTGACTGTTAGTTTTATCAACTTTAATGATTATTAATAAAACTTTATTAAAAACATGATGTTGAAACGTGTTGTTGAAAGTATTGTTTTTATAAAATCAATCAGACAAATTGTTTTAAAAGATTTACTTTTAACATAAAAAACACATTTAACTTATTTTAATATTTCTTTTTAAAAACAGTCAATAAAAGTAATTATTGATTTGTTAAAAAGCATTTTGCTAATATAGAAACATTTAATGACAAAAGATTAATGTTACTAAGTAAATTTTTTAAGCGGGGTTTACTAAAGTTGGGTAACTAAAGCAGGGTAAAGCATAAGTGGCGACGATATTTATCTAAAGGAGATAAACCTTAGTGCTGATCCTCATTGAAACGCCAGTAATAGAATAACTATTATAATAGAATATATAAATATTAGAAGCAACTCTGAGGAGATGTTTACTACTTAACCACTACACTAATTGCGTTTACATCTTTTTTTAAACATACTTTTATTATTTAATGAAACAATATTTTGAAATGAAAAATTTCAGAAAATGGTTGAAATGATTGAAAAACTCAGAATGATTAAAATATTAAACTCCTAAAGTTTGAACAATAACTTTCCAGTAAAACATTCCAGTAATATGTTTCAGTAGTTTGTTCCAGAAAAAGGTTTCAAAACTAGTTGCAGAAATATTTTGTAGTAATTTGTTGCAGTATTGAGTTAATCACTCAATCACTTAATCAGGTAGTTAACTTTTTAACTGTATGACTTTTTTCCAGACAACCTTAATCACATATCTTCACTTCTTGACTCTTTTCTCTGATCATAGCTTGTGGTCAGTTTATTCTTGTTTTCTTTTGGACAATTTAGTCATGCTATAATCTCACAAAAAATTGTATACTTGTATGTTTTCACCCAACTTACCCTATCATTTATTTCTTTTACTACCTTAAGGCTGATAGGGATTCTTTTTGTAATTTTTATGGATAGTCCATAGACTAATGCCATTCATTTCCCAGCTGAAAATTGTGACTCCTATGTTGTCTTTTGAATTCAAGCATAAAACTTTTGTGGTTTCAATTTTTAAAATCTCTCGAGATTGTACTGACCCTTCCAATTCAATCAAATCAGTTTTCTTTATATTATAAGCAAGGTCTTGTCTGCCTTTTCTTTATTAGCGAGGTCTTTGTATGCTTTCTCTTTATTAGCAAGTTATTTTAGTTTTTAATTAACAAACTAAGTTTGTTAATTAAAAACTCAAATAACTTAATAGATCATCTTGAGTCATACAATTTACTCTCTGACAATTAATAAAGATTTCAATTCTCTTATTCTACTGCTGATTTGTTAACCTTTAGGTGAAAACAGGGAGCGAAAGCTATTGCAGCTGAAATATTAATACTTAAATAACCAAATGTAAAGAAAACAAAAACTAATGTAAAGAAAAAGTTAATAAAACTACACACCACAAATCTTACATTGAATACAAAAAAAAAATCTATATAAAACTATTTATTAGATTTACTAGAAGTTGTTATTAGATGGTGTTACTAAACAATATTACTAGATGACATTTACTAAATAGTGTTACATGTTGGCGTTATTAGATGGTGTTGGATGGTAATGGTGATGTTAATTACATTAGAATGTATTACTGATGTTACATTTAATTATAGTAACATCAGTAATACATTCAATTACATTTGAATGGCTGGTGTTACTATAATTAATGATTTTATATTTAATGATGAAATTATAATTTTGATTCTCTTATCCTACTCATGACTTGTTAACCATTTAATGCAGAGAGAAAGAGCTATTTATTTAGTTTGTATTGTGACATATTAATACTTAAAACATTGTAAAAAAAAAAAGTTAAATACTACACACCACAAATCTTACACTGCACAGCCATTCCTTGTTCATTCACTCTAAAAATAGAAATAACTTAATAAAATAATTTAGTAATATATCAATAAAACTACTTTAAAACATAACACTCGTCAAAAAACTAAAAACAGCAATAAAAAGTAAATGCATGAATACTTCAAACATGTCATTAAAGTATGTAAATAGTTAAATAAAGATATTTTATTTAATAATTTTCAATATCTTATTTTTGTAATTTTCTCTAAATTAAAAAATGTAAAAATAATTACACTAAATTTTATGCTTCAATTATAAGTAAGATCCTGTCTCACAAAACTAATAGTCTTTGAGACTCAATATTTTGTTAGAAATTTGAAAAAATTATTCCTCACTGTCTAATGAGGGAGATTCAAACCCCACTCTTCTTTCCTTCTCCAAATCAAAGTAAATTAAAAAGTCTCCACCCCTCCTAATAAAAAATCTAACAATTGTTTTTGCCCTATTTGCCTCTCTTTTATTATGCATTTAAATTTTCCTATTTAAAAACACTAAAAATACTTCTATGAACTTCAGTTTTGTAAAGTATTTTTTTTAAACATTTTTTACATTTAGATTTTTATTTTACTTTATAAAGTTCTAAATTTTTATTTTACGAATATAATTATAAAGTTCTAAAATTTTTTAATTATAAAGTTCTAAAATGTTGAATGTTAGAAATTTTCATACATGCAGGCTTTTTATATCATAAATTAAACGTCAATATTTTTTGTAATAACAATCAGACATTAAAGAAAGGATTTCTTGGGGTTTTCATTGCTTTTTTTTTATGACAACTTTTCATAAAATAATTAAAATTATATTTTAAGTCATATTTTTAGACTTACATAAGTCATATAAGTTTTCATAGGTCATAAAACTTTCATAAAACTTTTTTTTTTTTTTTTTTAAAAAGTTGTTTTTTTTGTCTAAAAAATTGTTTGGAAAAAGAATGTTAGCTTACAGCTTAACTTTTGCACAAATTGTTATTATACAAGTATCTGGGATACCATGTTTTACTATTTTTTGTCCTTTAAATTAACTTCTCAGTTAATTCCATACTGCCATGCCTAAGTTTCCTTTGTTTTTGATTGGATGGCTCTGTGGTTTTCTAAAACTTATATTATTTTATAGGAATGTCATTTGATGCTATCATATGTTATGTATTGAGCTCTTAACAGCAATGGTAATGCTAAATTCAGCAAAAAAGCAACATTAAATATAACAATAAAATTATACAATATTAAAAACACAAATTATGGTCAATATTTCAAACTATAAGACCAACAAACTAAATAAAGATGTAATAAAATACAATTAAGTACTTATAATATGATTATCATAATATAATTATCAATATTAAATAAGAACTGAAACAAAATAAAACAATAAAAATAGCCTAAACATTTTTTAATTTTTTGTCTAAGAAATTCTTTGGATTAGTTATAAAATTTTAAAATTTCAAGATTTAAAATGACGACTAGTTAAAAATTTTTAAATTAAATTTAATTAGAATGTGGATATTTGAAAAACCCAATTGACGTACTTAACTTTTAACCATATAAATAGGAATTTTGAGTAAAGTTAAATTTACTTGCATTACACCTTTCCATTATATATATATATATATATATATATATATATATATATATATATATATATATATATATATATATATATATATATATATATATATATATATATATATATATATATATATATATATATATATATATATATATATATATATATATATATATATATATATATATATATATATATATATATATATATATATATATATATATATATATATATATATATGTATATATATATATATATATATATATATATATATATATATGTATATATATATATATATATATATATATACATATACATATATATATATATATATATATATATATATATATATATATATATACATATATATACATATATATATATATATATATTTATATGTACATATATATATATATATATATATATATATATATATATATATATGTATATGTATATGTATATGTATATGTATATGTATATGTATATGCATATATATATGTATATATATATGTATATATATATATGTATAGATATATATATATATATATATATATATATATATATATATATATATATATATATATACATATATATATATATGTATGTATATATATATATGTATATTTATATATGTATGTATATATATATATATATATATATATATATATATATATATATATATATATATATATATATATATCAGGGATTTAAATGTCATAAAAAGACTACTTCTTCCAAGATTTTGGTATCCAGGAGCTTTAATAATATGAAAAATGGATTTCTATTGGTAAAAAAATTAAGACTTTTAGGTTAGAAGAACAATTACTCTTTGAACCCAGAGTCTTTAGCTATAATGGTGGCAAGGACTCCAGGACTCGCTTAAAAACAATATGTTTTTAAGTCATTAAATTTTATGAGTCTTTTTTTATATAGCAGATCATAAGTCAACCAACTTGTTCAGAGCTATATATATATATATATATATATATATATATATATATATATATATATATATATATATATATATATATATATATATATATATATATATATATATATATATATATATATATATATATATATATATATATATATATATATATATAACAATATTATTTCCATAAAACAGCAATAATTTTATTTTACTTCATTTTGAGCATCTCGACAATTGATCTAAGCAACTCAATATGATCTGATAAGTTCTAAAAATAAACAAAATAACACAATTAAAATCTTATTTGTATTTATTTTTTCTTATTTGCATTCCTCTTTTAATAACTTTAAAAAAAGAGATTTAATTCTTAAAGTAAGCATTTAAAAAAAAAAAAAAAACATAGAATGCTAAAAGTACAAAAATGCAAAAAATGAAAAAAAAAATGTATTATGTAAAAAATTATAAAACAGTACTATATAAAATCATGATATACAAAAATAAAAAAATTCAAAAGTAATAATCAATGTTAAAACTCAAGCTCCAAGTCAAAAATGTGTTACAAATACGCTTTATAAACATTTTAAGATTAAAAAAAGTACAAGAGAAGGTTTTATATATGAAGGTGTTTTTGACATTTAGGATGTCCTTGAAAGTTATTTCTGTTTAATATTTTTGTTAAAACCACTAAAATACATAAAATTTGAAATAATTTATTTTTTGATTCAGCATAAAATTTAACCCTTTCTTCATTTTTACACAAATGTTTTATATAACAATGTATTCGTGCAAATAATAAAAATAATTGAAAAAATAAACAAAAAATATGTAAAAGCAAAAAAACTCTGATTCTAAAACATCAAATAACATGTTTTTTAATCCACTACAAATTCTGAATATATCTTTATAGGCACTAGATTCCATTTCATGTTTTGAAATATATTGGTATTTCCATATATTTTAAAATATATAATCAAATTTTTGGAAATAACATTTATGATAATAATGATTTTTAATAAGAAACAAATTCAAAAAAAAAATTTCTGCATACATTTCATGCATTTTATGTTATATGATAACATGTTATAAAAATAAAATTAAGAAGATATTTTTTGTTAAAATTCAAATAACTTTAATAAAATATGAAATGTAACATTTAATTTTTTAAAAGGTTTTTCAACTTTGACTTTAAAAATCAAGTCTGATGTATTTATATTCCCTGAATGTGATTTGTGAAATAAAAGTTATGATCCCCCCCAAAAAAATCATGGATTAACTACAGTTACTTCACTCCACTAAAAAGAGCTCTACCACAAAAAGACTTTGTAACCTCTTGGAACTAAGGTATGCAAAGATTGCTGGCAACTAAAAAGAAAATAATTAGAAACTCAAGATAATGTTGATGTCATTACATATGAATTTTAGTTCATCTGTCTAATGTATTAGTGCAAAGTTCACCTGCCTAATGTATTTGACCATTCAAACAACATGGATTGATGGACATTATGGAGCAGACAATACAAGTTAATAAATATTTTAGAAATATTTATTAACTTGTAACAATGAATATGGCCCAAGTTTTTAGATAAGATTGCCTTGAATCTTATCTAAAAACTTGGGCCATATTCATTGACAATTAGTAAAGAAGACAGACCAATAACTGATGAGGATGTTACAGGTATTATTAATAACCTTAGTAAAAAGCAACGTGTCAAATAATTGGTTAAAATTTATAAACCGTCACTTTGAAACAAATTCTGAGTGACAGTTGTACTATTGATGAGTGTTGAGATATAGAAAAACCTTTAGAAAAACTATCCACTTATCTATTCCAAAATGCCTAGGAGGTAAACAAAGTCACCATACTTGCTTTTAGTAAAACTAATTTAAACCAGCTGCTTTTTCTTCAATGATATACTTGTCCAGGACTTATATTTACATATCAATTCAGCTATTTGTCCTGAAATGGTCAAATGATTCAGATTTGAATACTTTTAGTATTCTTTCATATGACTTTGTTTAGTCTTATTTCATTTAATTGCCTTTGTCTTAGTTCTTTATTGTTTTCTGCACACTTTTCTGTTGTTTTGTAATCAAATTGACCAAACCCTTTCACATTATCCATCATCCAATAATGTTGATTTATGCAATTTTCATGCTTATCACACTTAATGGTTACTGACCCAGCTAGTACTAAAGCTCAAAATTATTGTCATTCTCAATCCCTTTCTATATGGTTCTCACTCTTGCTGTCATTCCAAAGAGACAGATTTAGTCCATTTTTAGATATCCAAATCAATTTTGTTTCTACTGCTAAAAGTATTTTCTCATTTAAACTCCTCTACAGCTTGTGGTTCATACAACAATTCTGTTTTACAAAAATTTTCTCTAGTACCTTTTTTGATACTCTCTAAACTATTCTAACAAAAACTGAATCTTGTTTTCCTCTCTGCTGGAAAAAAGACAATTGTTGCAGTTTGTAAAAGACTCTGGAGATCGCATTGACCCCTCTAACTGCAACTCTAAACTTTTATTCATATTTTTCTCATACATTAGAGTTTCTCATACATTGGTGCTTTGGAATTTTTCATACATTGATGCTTTGGAATTTTTCATACATTGGTGCTTTGGAATTTTTCATACATTGGTGCTTTGGAATTTCTCATACATTGGTGCTTTGGAATTTTTCATACATTGGTGCTTTGGAATTTTTCATACATTGGTGCTTTGGAATTTTTCATACATTGGTGCTTTGGAATTTTTCATACATTGATGCTTTGGAATTTCTCATACATTGATGCTTTGGAATTTTTCATACATTGGTGCTTTGGAATTTTTCATACATTGGTGCTTTGGAATTTTTCATACATTGGTGCTTTGGAAATTTTCATACATTGATGCTTTGGAATTTTTCATACATTGGTGCTTTGGAATTTTTCATACATTGATGCTTTGGAATTTTTCATACATTGATGCTTTGGAATTTTTCATACATTGGTGCTTTGGAATTTCTCATGACTCAATTAAATTGTCAGCTTTTATAATTTAATTTTGTGAGTTTTAAATTTGAGTGTTAATTTCTTTTATGCTTTTTAACTCTCTTCTTTGCATTTCCCAACTTTAAATGATGGTTTTTTGCAGCCTTATTTGAATGTGACTACCGTGATATTTTGCAAAATATTATTATTTCACTTCCAATATAAGAAATGTAAAAGGAGGGCTAACTTTAAAATCACTTTCTGGAACCAGGTGGTCTGGTAATGCAGAGGTGGTTCGAGCGTTAAGAAAGACTATAATGCCATCACTTTGATTTTGACGCAAATGGTTCATGATGAAACTCAAAAAATGACAATACAAGATTTGAAGTAAATTGTTTGCTGAAGAAAATCAATACTTTTGAAAATGTATTATTAACAATAATGTTGCTCTGAGATATTTTTAAAAACTTTAATGTTTCTTTTGATTGATTTCTACTAAATAACTAAAAGTTAAGTTAAGTTTTAAACTTATATTCATTTATTTCCAAAAAGTTATTTAAATTGCAAAACTTTAATATTTTTGATTACATTTTACAGTATGATAATAAGAGTGCTCGAAGTGAAATCCGTGGTATTTTAAAAACATGTAAAGAAAAACGATGCCTTTTTAAAATAAGTTTTTTCTTAAAAAAATATTTTGAATTACAGAATTTTTTTTTCTAAATGTAAAATATTTTTACAATTTTTATACAATTAAATCTTCTTGGTGGCTGCGACGGTCTAGTGGTAAGCATGTCTGATTTCAAAAGCTATCAACCCGGGTTCAATTCCTGGGTAGCTGGTCATAGGTCAACTCAAATTTTCATCCCTCAGGGTTCGATAAATGAGGACACATTTATTCGTTCACATAATTTTTTGACAAGGGGTCTCCGAATTGTGTTGTGCCTATAGTCCGTGTTTTAGATCGGGCCCTGATTTAGTAGTAAAAAAAGTTTTTTTCATGTCTGAAAAAAACTTTTTTTCTTTTACTTCTCTGATAACTTACACTGCAAAAATATCTTTTTCAAAAAGGACTTAGACTAGACATACTTGTACTTTTACTTAGCGTTCTAAAAATATCACAAGCAGATAAAAATAAAGATAATTTTAAAAAATACCATGAACTTTCCATGACTTTCAATGAAAATTTAGGAATTCCATGACATTTCCATGATTTCCATGACTAGTGGCCACCCAGTTTTTTTCTGTTTTTGATATAAGTTTGTATTGCAGCTTCTGCATATTCCAGACAAATGAAAACTTCAAACTGAATGCAGGATCCATAAAAACTTTGATAGGATGAATCAATGAACTATTCTTCTCCAAAGATTGACATTTTTTGTCTTTAAAAAACGTATCTATCTCCTATTTTCTGAATGAGATCTTGCTTTTTACAGACTCATTTTGTACCAAAACATTTTTATTTATTATTTTCTGTATTTGATTATTTAAATTTTATAAATCAATACTCTAACACATTGTTTAATTTAAACAAATTATCAGACAAATGACATAATTTATTGAAACTAATTTGTTTAAGTCTTGTTAAGACTATTAGTTTGTTATTAGTTCATTTGCAATAATAATAATAGTCTTGCACAAACCACGTGATTTGTAAACTAGAGCAGAAAATATTCTTTACAATTAACAAATAAATATTGAAAATAAAAAACTATTTGTAGGCTTGCTACAAATTATCTAGCTATCAAAATAAAAAAATTTTATGGAAGACATGTTCCATACAAAGCATTTGTCATTCTGGTTAAGATTAATAAATTGCAAAGTTTCTCAATAAGATTATTACAACATTAGAAAACTTTAAAGAAAAACAACTCAAGATACCAATAACAGTAAGATAGACTAAAATAAAAGTTTCAAATCATTTGTTAATCAACTTAAAAAAACTTTGTAAAAAATCAACTTAATAAAATTTGTTTCTTTTTCTTTTTTTTTTTTTTTTTCTTTTTCAAGTTCTTTAATTTGTTTTTCAATAAATTCAGCCTCTTGTTTATTTTCAATACTTTTTCTTTTTAATTTATTCTTAACGCATCTTTTCTTAACATAACTCGTCTTCTTAACAACACTTTTTCTCTGCAAGTTTCATACACTCAGTAACCTCATTTTCCATTAAAAAACAGCATTTTTTTGCAAACTTGACTTTAAGATGTCAGCTGTGATATCCAACGCTCTTTGTTCCTAATTTGTTTTCTCTTTTTAGTGTTAACTCAATCATATATTTTAGATGAGCTGATCGAAAAGCTTTGACCAATGGTGCGACAATATTAACTGTGTGCCGTGTTAGATCCATTAGCAATTAGATGGTCCTTTATCATTTGCTAGGAGATAATACTTGAAGGAGTTATATTTGTTTTAACAGAAAAGTTGCTTATGCTAAAACCACTCTCAACAGTTTGGCCATGACTAAGTGTTAAAATTAATCTAACGATGAAAAAAAAAAATCTTATGCAATTGTTGGCAATGATCATCAAGACAGTACCTTAAATTAAATAAAACGAAAAGATTATTGCTTTATAGCTTTGACTTCATCAGTAATGTTTTCAAGATATCAAACAATTTTTTTTTTGAGCAACACAATCAAGACATCTAAGGGTCAAAGATACTGAATACTCTTATCAATGAACCATTTAATGGAGAATTGTCACAAAAGTTTTTCTTTGTTAAAACAATAAACCTCTTGGCAATCTTCAAGAACCCTTTGCTTTGAACTTTTTGCTTAAAGAACCCTTTGCTTTGATGTTATAACCCCTGAAATGAGTCAATAAGTGTTTTATATGACCCAAGAAACTTGATCCAAAATAAAGAACATTAATGTGTTTTTTACTTAAATAACAGAATCTGATACAAATATCCATTTCAGAAGTTTGGATGTCCATGTTTAAACTCATCAAAAAAAGCCAAACCACAATTTAACCTGTGCAAATTTTTGGTACATCTTGTCTGAAACTGTGAAGCTATGTCTGCCTGCACTGCCTGAAAATAAAGCTGTAAAACAGGGTTTAAACTATCATTTAAACGTAAAGAAAATTTATTTTCAAATGTTTTAAGTTGCCAAATTTTTGCCTCAGTAACATCTAATTTTACAACATGAATTTAATGTCTTTTTTTCTGTAATTGACCCATTAGAGTATGAAAAGACAGATAGTAAAGAACTTTTCTCTTTTGGTTTTACCAAAAAACCTTACTTTCTAATACTTCATCGTGTTTTGCTTCTTTTGAATGGTCTGTCAGGGCAGAGCACCCATTTGAAGAGAGTTCTTTTGAGCTGCGGCAAACTACACATTTTTCTTTGGTGTAATCACTTAAATCTTTTAAGTTATTATCGCTCAAACTTCGTTAAACCATCTTTGATTCTTCGCTTTTTTATTTCTATTTAAATCCTTATTTATATTAAATAAAATAACAATATTATTCAAAAAAAAAACTTTAAAAAAAATAAATATTGATATCAAAACTTGAAAAACTAATAAATACTTATATAATGATTAAACACAAATTCGTGCAGTTTTAGACAAAGCAGTTAAAAGTAATTGTCAACCTACAATCTCTAGAATGTATCTTGGTAACTGCAGCTGTTATTGTTTTTTAGCAGAGGCATTGTTGAAAAGCCTTATTTAGCTGTGTCATTTACTATTTTAAAATCAACCGTTTTTTGAGTAAACTAGTTATTTTAATTACATTTAAACAAATGAATATAATCAAAGACTAGGTCCTTTTTTTAGTCAACTAGGGTTTATTTGAAAAAAGATCTTTGAAACATTTTATAAAATACTTGATTATTTCTATTGTCATTATGGAGTCTTTTTAGAACACCCAAATTTTATATGTGCTTACTGTAAGAAAGATGGTGGTAATTCTTAGTTTACTGCTATAAACCTGTAATGTGGTAACATTGTAACCTAATATAATAATATTACTACACTGATATTTAAAATGATTTAAAAAAAATATTTTTAAAAATATAAAATCTAAGTAAACTTACAATATTCAAAAATAAATTTAAAAAACATTCCATGAGTTTCTGGTCAGCTTCAAAAGCAATAATCTCTCCACAAACTAATCTTTTCCATAGAAACAATATATCTTGCATTCCAATATCAGATAAATTGATTCCCTTAAAAGAAACTTTCATGCAATAACTGAAAATAAAAATTTAACTAAAAGATTTTAGTAAATAACAAATTTGAAAACAATAAAAGAACAATAACTAACAATAAACTATCAAGCTCCTTGTCTTCTTAAAAACATATTCTTTATATGTCTTAAAAAAACAAAATTTAGGAGTAAGTACAGACATACATAGAATGCAAGTATCATGCAATACATTAGATTTTATTAGGTTGGATAAAAAGTAATTTTTCTAAACTTCTTTAAAAAATTCCCAGAAAGTTCTGTAAGCTTTGAAATGTTACCATGATTTGATTATATAGAGGGCGTAACCCAGTTAAAATGGAAAAAATCTCTGATATAAATATATAATACACCCAAATTAAAAATTCCATAAGTTATAAATTTTAATTTTAGCAAAAACCTAACATTAAATAAAAGCAATTGAAAATGTAAAAAAAAAATTTGTTAGATGTTTTTTGTTTGATGTGCATTATGTTTTATAACTATAATTATAGTGAAAATTTAATTATCTTTGCTTACTTATATTTTGTATATAACTATGGAATTTTTTTACATGCAACTATGGAATATTATTTACATGAATTTAAGATTTTTATATCATTAAAAATTAAATTGCGTCGTTAGTATATTTTACACTGCATTAAGATTTTTTAAACAATAATAAAAATTACTAATGAAATCTAAAATTGTTATTTAAAAAAAGTTTATATTTTTTATACATAACATAATAATCTTTTGTTTATTTATCAAAATTTAGTTTTTTGTTGCTGTTCTTTTACGCATTAAATGAACTATATTTGTAAACATATACAAAAAATAAACGTTGAGTCATATGAACTTAACAAATTTTTGAATGAGAAAAAAAAAAAATTAGTTCTATTGGTGAAAAAAATTCTTTTATACAAAAATACTTTTCCTTTCTTAAATCAAAAAATGATGTTGTATGGTTTTGTCGTAAAAAACATAGGTTCCTTTGATTCACTTAGTTTAATTTAACCATATTCTTTAATAAACCCACAGAATCTCTAAAAATATAACAAAAGATTTCAAAAGAAATCAGTGAAAACTTGTTTTTTTGACGCATTTGTCTTATTTTTCAATTTTAAGTAAGTTTTATACAGAAAAAAGGGTTTTGTCTTAAAAAACATAGGTTTCTTTGATTCACTCGGGTTTATTTTACCATATTCTTTAACAAACCCACAGAATCTCTAAAAATATTTCTTTTGGGATCTTTTGTTATATTTTTAGAGATTCTGTGGGTTTGTTAAAGAATATGGTAAAATAAACCTGAGTGAATCAAAGGAACCTATGTTTTTAACAACAAAACCCCCTTTTTTTGTATAAAACTTACTTAAAATTAAAAAATGAGACAAATGCGTCAAAAAAACAGGTTTCCACTGATTTCTTTTGGAATCTTTTGTTATAATTTTAGAGATTCTGTGGGTTTGTTAAGGAATATGATAAATTAAACCTAAGTGAATCAAAGGAACCTATGTTTTTTACAACAAAACCCCTTTTTCTGCATAAAACTTACTTAAAATTGAAAAATAAGACAAATGCATCAAAAAAACAGGTTTCCACTGATTTCTTTTGAAACCTTTTTTTATATTTTTAGAGATTCTGTGGGTTTATTAAAGAATATGGTAAAATAAACCTGAGTGAATCAAAGGAACCTGTTTTTTACAACAAAACCCCTTTTTCTGTATAATAACTTACTTGAAAAATAAGATAAATGCATCAAAAAAACAGGTTTCCACTGATTTCTTTTGGAAATCAGTTGGCTGATTCCATCAACAATGGTAAAATATTAGAGTATTAACAGCGCCATATTGTGTATGGGTGGTGTCCCTGTTAGTAGTTTTAGTGTGCATTGTCGAGGCCACATAAAAAGCCTTAAGTTATGATTTTGGGTTAATTAGCAACAGTGAGACAACTGCATAGCTCATTGCTTAGTATGCCATGATCTATCAATGAATGAGTCATATTCTCTTTAACTTAAACCACATCTAAAGTAACCAAAAAAATTAATTGAAGTTCACCAGAATTTCTTGCTTTTTATAAGACTAATTTAAACTTGGCTCTTTCTTGTTCAGATCTCAATTATATCAATATCAAATATTGATAGCTAATGTGACCGGGGGTAGAAATTTGACAGGGGCTGGGGCCGGGTTTGATAAAAAATATAAAAATCAACATGACCAACATAATCATCATCATCATTGTTGTAATCATTATCACCATCATTATCAAGCTTTACCCTTCACATTTTATGCTATTTCTCTAACATAAACATCTCAAACATTTTCTTTACTTAATTAAAGCTTGTTCATACCATATATATTTATGTATTCTCTCCAAGTTTTATTACTTCTACCTCTAGCATTTTCTATTGAAGCTGCTACTTCTCTACATGCTGATACCTAAACCGCTTTAATGTTGGTCTTGAAGCTTGAAGTCTTGGCCTTAGTCCTGATCTTGAAAGCCTTGTCTTTGTCTTGGACCTTTACTGTCACGCTCTTTCTTGATCCTTTCAAAAACTGTCAGCAGTTTTTGTAATTTATTTCAACTGTTTTTTTTGTTAATTCAAATTTTTGTTTTATTATAAATATTGTTTTTAACAGAATTCGAAAACTTTCCCTTTTTGCCCTTTTTATTATCCCCATAGTATTTATTAGTTATCCCAAAAACATTTCTCTTTTGACACTAATTAGTTTGCATATAGATATGAAAATATAACCATTTGAGAATGATATTAGGTGGAAGAGCACAATTATAAACCACTCAAAGCCAAATAGATTTCTACCCTAGCCACAGTATCCCAATCATATTTAATAGTGGCTAGGAAAAATATATTTAAAAAATCTAATTAAAAATTAAAAATTTCAATGAAAAGTTAACATTTTCTTTATAAAAAAAAAAAAAAACCTTAGTTACTAACCATTAACAAATTGGTAAGGCTGTCTGCTTGATCCATGTTAAACCCAAATAAAGTGGAATAAACATTCAATTCAAATAAAAATTAATAACACAAAACTTTGCTAAAACATATATATATATATATATATATATATATATATATATATATATATATATATATATATATATATATATATATATATATATATATATATAAATATAAATTAATAAAACAAAACTTTGCTAAAACATAAATATATATATATTTATATATATATATATATATATATATATATATATATATATATATATATATATATATATATATATATATATATATATATATATATATATATATATATATATATATATATATATATCAATCAATCAATCAATCAATCAATTAATCAATCAATATATTCTGAATTAGAAAAACACCTAATAATAATGATGTTAATAATAAATAATAACAACTCTAAAAATCATAACGTTAACAATAATATTGACATTAATAATGGCTATAATAATAAAAATGGTATTAATAACAATAAAAATAATGGTATTAATAAAAATAATGGTATTATTAATAAATAACTATATTAATAAAAATGAAAGGTAATAACAATAATAACAATGATAATAATAATAATAATAATAATAATAATAATAATAATAATAATAATAATAATAATAATAGGATATTTAAATATATCTATATTTATACACGCACACATACATATATAAACACATACATACACACATATATACACACATACATGCATACATACATACATATATATATACATACATACATACATACATACATACATACATACATACATACATACATACATACATACATACATACATACATACATACATACATACATACATACATACATACATACATATATACATACATACATACATACCTACATACATACATACTTACATACATTCATAAATACATACATACATATGTCACACATACACTTATATATATATATATATATATATATACACATAAGCACACATACATCCATACACATATACACATACAAATATATATATACACACATACACATATACACTTATACTTATGCACATACATACATATGCATACACATACACACATACCTATATGCACATGTTAACACACATACATACACATATACACACATTTATAAACATACACATACACTTACCCACACATGCATACGCACATACACATTCAATTATTGCACAAAGACGACAAAAAAGCTTTACATAAATGTAAAGATTCTTAAAAAAAAGTATAAAATAAAAATTATATACAAGAAAGAGTATTTTTTAATAAGACTTTTTACAGTGATATATTGCTTTTATTGATGTTATTATTCTAGTAGCTATCCAAATAGTGTTTTTTTAATTTATTGAGAAAAATATATTGAGAATTTTTTCAGTTTTAAAAGAATGAGGGAGATTTTTCCTTGATTGAGATTGTTTTAATTGTTTAATTAAAACAGATATATAATATACACAGATATATAATATAAACACAGATATATAACACCTGTGTGTGTGAGTGTGTGTGTGTGTATGAGTGTGTGTGTGTGTGTTTGTATATGTGTGTGTGTGTGTGTGTGTGTGTGTGTGTGTGTGTGTGTGTGTGTGTGTGTGTGTGTGTGTGTGTGTGTGTGTGTGTGTGTGTGTGTGTGTGTGTGTGTGTGTGTGTGTGTAAAAAAAGGGTATTATTTTAGAAAGAATTATTTAAATAGAATGGTAGAAAATCCCGGCATTAACTTGAATTTAAATGCATTTGAATACATTAAATAAATCAAAAAAGTTACTAAATATTTGCTGAAATAAATAAACTTTAAGAAAAATTTTGTTAATTTGAAACTTATTCAAACTTATATACTGATGTACTCAATTCAGAAATGCTTTGTACAACAAAATATACAAGAAAACTGTTTTTATTGCAAAGAATTTATTCAAAACAAAGTTTATTTTAAAACAATTTCTCGCCAGATTCAGTTTCTAGTTAGATTGCCGCAAAAACAATTGTTTTTTTACGGGAATAGAGTAATAGATTTCAAAAACAGTTTTTTTAATTTTTAATTTTTTTATTATTTTGATAGTTTTTGACGATTTGCTTGTTTATTAACTATTTATATGCATAAAGTTAATAACAATTTTCTCATATACTTCAAAATAGTTTCAAGTTTTTTTCATTACTTATAAATATCAACAAAATTTATCTTTTTACCCGGTATGTTCTGTTGGAATTACATTAATGTCTTATCTAAATAATTATTGTAATCTGGTGTTTTTTACTTTATTGATCGAGAGACTAATTTTCATCTATTTATTTAACAATATTAAGTAAATTTATTACTTTCGAGTATGCTCCACAATTTTTTTTTTTTTTTGTACATTAAATTTTATTCTAGAAACATACATCTGTTTATTCTTAAAGTTTAATTAATTTTCTACATAATAAGACTCATTATTAAAATATCAATATATTAAAATAAGCATCTATTAGTTTCAATTGTGACGAGATTTTTTTATGAGACCACAATCGGCTTAATGTTCACAAGAAATTCTTAAAAAAGCACCCATTTAATGTTTACGTGTAAGATTTAAAAAAAACTTTAATTACAGTATGTAAGAAAATAAATAAACATTGAAAAAATTTAAATTTATGTTAACTATAACTAATTCTAATCATAATTAAGTATGTGAGTATTTGGCGTTTACGGTACCAATTTTAAAGTAAAAATCTGTGACTTTTTTTATAGGGTGTTTGGCGCCTGCGAAATAAAGGTGAATTTGATATGTATTTGTTTATTATTTTATATCAACTTCGATTTTATTTGAAAAGTAGAATAGTTTGAGTTTGTTATGTTGTTGTTGTAGTTATTCATGTTTTTAATTACTTCATCGCGGTAAAGGTATTATTAGGTCGTCATATCGGTATTAAAACTTAGTTCCTGTTCTGGAAGGCATTCGTTTCCATGGGTGCCCGTAGAACATTTCAATTTTTCAGATATGAATTTTTTATGGTTTGTGCAAAAACCAAAATTAAGTATGTTCATATCTATGGAAAATATGGATGCTTTGCAAAAAATCGCGAAGATGGAGGCCTTGAAACAAAAATACCCCAAAATATTTGACTTCTTCATTTCCCTAACGTCAGGGCGTTAATGTAGTAAAATTTTTAACTTTACTATCTTATTCTAAATTTAAATTTATTAAGGGCTCTTAAACTTTATTCAAAAATATTTAAAGTTCAAAAGTTATGACCATGCAAAATTCCCAACCCCCAAAATGGGTTTGTGCACTTCCTTCATTCTGCTCGCCATACACACCGAGCCCAAAACGGTTATATTGAAGAAAAGGAAAAGATGACATACTAAAACATAAACTCTCCGACTAATATTTAATTGGTAGTTAAATTTTTTCAGAAGATGAAGCTGCAGATTTTAAAAAGCATTTTTGGAATTTAAAAGAAGATTCTCCAATCACCAAAAACGAGAAAAAAATATTTTTTTAATAGTTGAAAACTTTTTAAGAGAACTACACTACAAATTGCAGCAATGTTATATTTGGTAATATAAAGGTTTCACATAGAAGGTTAACTTCTAGAGTATCTAATTAATCTAAACGTGACTGTGAATTGTAAATATCCAAACCTGTTCCATAGTATCTCTAAACATAATTCATTTGACCTATATCATGTATTAAAATAGGGTTGCAAAGTAAATATTAATTTTACAGACATAAAATTAATTGGGGAGAGTAGAGATACGTAGGACATTAAAAAACATTTTTAGATTAATTTTAATATCTTTTTTATATAATGTATTTTTGCACCAAACAAGTTTTAACAAATAAAGCATCATTTCGGGCATTGATTTCATCCTCTATGATTAACAGCAGGTTACAATAAAGTATATATGTTTTTGATTTTAGAGTTACTATATCATTGGTGTAAAGTGGTTAAGGGATGGGGTGAGGTGGGACAAGCGAGTAATTATCAACATGTTAACAAAAATTATTAATTAAAAACTATTAAAATTGCAAACCATGTAATCTTCATTAAAATATTCAAGAGGTTTCCACAATATAGTTACACAAAAGTGATATGGGAGAAATAGGAAATCAATTAACTTTCTTTATCTTACTTCACCCCTCAAAAAATTATTTTTTGGGGGACTTTTCAAAAAATGCGGTTTTCACCCCACGCAAGCAGATAAAGCAACGTCTGCTAAATAGGGGGGAAGAAATCTCATTGTTTACATTTGATAACACCCCAGCAAACACTTTTTAGTGGATTTGCATTGGACCTATATAGGCATTTTTTAGCGGTTCATTGGAGTTTTGTTCATCGGTTAATTAGTGGACCATTAGCGGCAGCAACTATAAATTGCTAGCCGATAATTTTCCGACATTTTTATAGTGGCTAGTTATCAGCTAGCCACTTTTGGTGGCTGCCACTATTGGTCCACTATTTTTTGATCATACAAAGAAATATATCAGAAGAATCTTTTATAAATACAAAATACGACGTATCTCTTCATTCCCTAGAACGAATGATTTAGTTTTGACATCATAAAATTGTTAAAAGTGTTATGCAATTTTTAAACACCCTAAATATTAAACACCCTTAATTTTAAAAAAATTGTCGACAATATTTATGTTGTTTTATTTGTAAAAAAAACAACATAAATATTGTTTCAGAATCAGTTTCAAAATCAAAACTGTTTACAATTATTATTTCTTACTTAAGAAATGTTACAACTTGGCTACTAAGTTTTATTAAACAGCCTAGAGTTACTGAAAAAATATTTTTTGAGAAATTCTTTTAGATAGCATACTTGAAAGCACACAGTTACAAAGGACACATTTACAAAGTACACAGTTACAAACTACATAGTTACTTAAAAAAAATTATTAAAATTCTAGAAATCGCTTCTAGAAAAATCTGAAACATTTTTTTCAGCGACTTTATAAATCTTAAAAAGAAACTAACTTTACTGCTAAAATAGCCTAAATAAAGTAAACTAAATAAAATAAACTAAATAATATAAACTAAATAAAATAAAAGATAAACAAGATATTTTACTGCCGCAATAAATGTTGCTTC